GTGGATAGAGCGTCTGTCAGAGACTGTATGTGTGTGGTGTAGTGGATAGAGCGTCTGTCAGAGACTGTATGTGTGGTGTAGTGGATAGAGCGTCTGTCCGGAGAGACCTCCGTGGTGTAGTGGATAGAGGATCTGTCAGAGACTGTGTCCGTGGTGTAGTGGATAGAACTTCTGTCAGAGACTGTGTGGTGTAGTGTAGTGGATAGAGGTGTGTCAGAGACTGTGTGTGGTGTAGTGGATAGAGCGTCTGTCAGAGACTGTGTGGTGTAGTGGATAGAGCGTGTGTCAGAGACTGTGTGGTGTAGTGGATAGAACGTGTGTCAGAGACTGTGTGGTGTAGTGGATAGAGCGTGTGTCAGAGACTGTGTGGTGTAGTGGATAGAGCGTGTGTCAGAGACTGTGTGGTGTAGTGGATAGAACGTCTGTCAGAGACTGTGTGGTGTAGTGGATAGAGCGTCTGTCAGAGACTGTGTGGTGTAGTGGATAGAGCGTCTGTCAGAGACTGTGTGGTGTAGTGGATAGAGGGTCTGTCAGAGACTGTGTGGTGTAGTGGATAGAACGTCTGTCAGAGACTGTGTGGTGTAGTGGATAGAGCGTCTGTCAGAGACTGTGTGGTGTAGTGGATAGAGCATGTGTCAGGGAGTGTGTGTGGTGTAGTGGATAGAGGGTCTGTCAGAGACTGTGTGGTGTAGTGGATAGAGGGTCTGTCAGAGACTGTGTGGTGTAGTGGATAGAGCGTCTGTCAGAGACTGTGTGGTGTAGTGTATAGAGGGTCTGTCAGAGACTGTGTGGTGTAGTGGATAGAGCGTCTGCCAGAGACTGTGGTGTAGTGGATAGAGCGTCTGTCAGAGACTGTGTGGTGTAGTGGATAGAGCGTCTGTCATTATAAAGCAGATACTTATTGTAGCTCTGCATGCTGCTATGCATTAAGGGGATAAACCTAGTACCAGTATAGTGTTCTGAGTGAGATAACCTAGGTTACAATGTGACATATATAGTGTCGCAGTGGACTAGTACTGGACTAGCCACCCTCACAGGGGCGTGTCACGCTTAGAAACAGCGTTAGAAAGACGTATAGGTATATAGACCCTACCCTAGTACTATATAAAAGGAAAGGGGTTTAACGACGGAACCACCCCCTCCTCAATCTAAGTTAGATTTCACTAAGTAAATTATTTTTAAGGCCCCATCTATGGCCGACAAGTGAGTATGATTGCCGATGGTTTTGGAGAAAATGCCTGCTTACTGTCGAGGAAATGATTTGTAGATGTTGCAATAAGTTTTTAGACCCATGGAATGCCGCTGCCGCTCGAATCTAGCCCTACATAGGTGCTGTCAACGTGGCTGGAATTAATAAACGAATTTTATAAGGTGAGTTTTCGCTGTCTTGGGTGATCCATGATTTTGGCTTGGAATTGCGGAGGTAGCTGTTTTCGGTGAGTCGTGGCGTATAACTTTTGAAGTAATGATCCGATTGTGACCATTTATAGCTCATTTTGTAGGGAAATCATCACGCTTTCGATCCGAAGGCCTCGACGGGGCCTTAAAAATAGTTTACTTGGTGAAATCTAACTTTGATTGAGGAGGCGGTGGTTCCGTCGTTACGTTCCTTTCCTTTTATATAGTAGTAGGGTAGGGTCTATATATTTAGGGTCTTTCTAACGCTGTTTCTAAGCGTGACACGCCCTTGTCGTAACATCAGCGTCGATCTACCCAAGTGGGATACGGTGACATGCGTCAGCTCTGTTTGCGACCCTGACCACCCGATCCTTTTAGTCGACTCCGACAAGAGCATATCGCCTCGTACAAGCATGGGTTGCTGAAGACCAGTTCTAACCCGGATCTTCATGGGTTCGTCGCTGTGTAAGTGAAATAATCTGGAACTCATCTCAAATCGGGACAGCGGGTCATGTAACAGTTGGCCATGTTTTTGAAAAACACATCAAAGTTCACGACAAGAAACAGTGGCAAGTTTCGGTCCTGTGACTTATGCAAGGTACGTATTTGTTTGTACTCAACAAGTGATCAGGAAAAAGGCAAAAATATATTTCCGGAATTGCAGATCTAAAAGACCTCATACATTTCCCTCAACTATCAGCTGTCAATCACATGAAACTAGTTATAGATCTATGAAAGGGCACGATGTATATCATGTTTCATCGCGGTGTCTTTGATGTATTTTGCAGTAGTTATATTGTTGGTTTAGGTAGTTTTTTAACTGATGTTTTAGTTCAGAAAACAGTGGAAAGTAACATATTTGTTCACTTTTTCGCTCTGTGTTGGTAATTGGAGAATAGGTTCACATAATGAACTTACATGAACTTCCTGGTTCAGAGTAGGTGTTTCACACTATATTCATCAGCTGTCCAGTATGGCAGCGGCCTGTCACTAATAGGGACTGGACCACACAAACAGGTGGTCGAATTCATGAACACTCGCCCTCGTTGTTGGGGCTAAATTCTTACGGAGGGGAGAAACAAAGGTAGGGAAACTCAGAATACCAGCCGTTTCAGTAGAGACAACACTTCTTTGTATGGATAACCGAGATCAATCTGACAACAACCCTGCAGACGGAGTCCGCCTTTAAGGAGTTTTGTAATAGTTGTTGTGTTTTGCTTTCTGTCTGTTAAAGGACAGGGTAAAAGATCAGAGACAGAAATAATATGGTTTCCCAAAATAGTGACTACCACCTGTTAGCAGCCTTTAATCACCAGATATCAGATTGTTCCTAGTTGGACCTTAGTTGTCCTATCGCACACTACCAACATTTACAAATCAGTCAACAGAGATGTATCTTTAAAAGAACTAAAGATTTGTTCACAGTTGCCCCCTGAAATTTGTAAAATCGTGTTTTTCCACATATTTTTGCAATAATTCGGCATGTATTTGGTCTTGTCAGCAGTCCCATGCTTGTAGTTGAAGGAAGGAATTATGTCAGGTGCCGGCCGTTTGAATATGTTCTTTCATTTGTTTTTACATATTTGTCTTTTGTTGCCTAACAGTAAAATTTGAAAAAGGGAACATGTTATGGTAAATTCCTTTCGTCATTCCCCGAAGGGAACATTTGCATTGGTTTCACCACGATGTCTGCATGTACATTTTATTCGTTGCAGTTCAGCTTTATGATGAGTCTGTAAATATTCTAGGCTAGACAAGGAATTGACATCATGAGCATCGATCTATGCAAGTCTGACCACCCGATCCCCTTAGTCGCTTCTTATGATAAGCATCGGGTGCTGAAGAGGAGTGGGGTTGGGTAACGTGGTTGTTGAGACTGACGGAAAGTAGCGGAGGTACACAACTACCTCCAGAGTTTTAAATATTTCAAAATAATTACATTTTTCATTTGTGTTTGGATCATCACATCATTCGAGTTCTTCTTCTTTCTAGTGGTTAAAGCTTTCGCTCGTCAAGCTGAAGACCCGGGTTCGATTCCCCATTTGGGTCCAATGTGTGAAGCCCATTTCTTGTGTCTCTTGTCGTGATATTGTTGGAATATTGCTAAATGCGGCGTAGAATTCCTTACAATCTTTTTCCAGCCGATTCAATAGTCCATACTCCAGTCAACCCTTTTAATGAGAAATAGGTATATTTCTTGAACATGTTTCTGGATTCGGTCCACTCTCACCACCTCGGGTGTCCGGTCCTTGTTTCGCATATTGACCTCGTCAAGAGTAACTTCGAGTTTTGTTTTAATAAATTATCTTTTAAAGTTTACGAAGCCTTGAAACCGTCTCTTGTTTTATTACAGTAGCCTTGCGGCAAACCGTGAGACGCTAAGACCAGGTGCCATCTTGATTTCTCGAAGACTAGTCTCAGTATTCATCACGTGACACGTCAATGGTGATCGTCAGTTGTTTGGGGGTACATGTTCAAATGTATTTTTGCCATTGCGGATAAACCAATGGAAGTGCACAAAAAACCAAAGAAGCTAAGGCTGCAATTTGGTCGCATTCTGTGGCATACCACAGTTACGGTATTTACACTCGACACAGAGATGAACATATGTAATGTTGTCAGCAGTTCCCTCACTGCACATGTGTGGACACAAGGGGGCGTTCAGGTCAGTACCTGGTGACACTTCCCCTTGCAGCCGGCACTGCTTGACACCGCCTCGGAAGGGATTGCACAAGTGGTCGGATTTTTGTTTCTTTGCCATTCCTCCTGCAACCCGGTAAGTTTTGCAAGTGTCTGAGGACGATGGTGACGTTTACGGAAGCGTCGATCAAGTTCTTCACTTAGATACTCGATCGGGTTCACATCAGCCGATATTGAAGACAAGTGAAGGACATTGACGTTTGCATTGGCGAGATAGGCACCTGTTACATCCCTCAACAATCAATTGAATTCAATCCCAACCTGGACAGCATGATTATCCCTATCAAAATCTGTGTAGTATACATATTGCTGTTGGCTATGGTAAGGTATTACCAGCTTGTTTCATAGCTCTGTTATATCCACCGTAGTCTGTCTCACAGTCCCTCAACCACAATATTTTCCCTCCAACCTTGCCCTCCCTGCAATGCTTAAGCCCTAAATGAAGCCAGATTTCCCCAGGTTCTGAATCTCTGGTCTCCCTGGGTCTCCTTTCCAATAAATGGGTTTATTTGTTACAATCAAAATTATATATATTCAGAGACTAAGCGTTAGTCTATATCAACCCCTCCTACGCTCAATACGGAAATTGTCCTGTTGGAGTAGCTGATAGTTTCAAACTGGTGAGAACGTTAAACCTTTCAAACAATTTCAAATTATGGTGTAAAAATGTCACAAAGTTATATTCTGACCAAACATCAGATATAATCTGTTTGAATATTTGTTATTTAAATGTACAAAACCATAGATTCAAATACGCCGTTTGATAAAAGCCTGTTCAGGCGGATCGAACATCATGCAATGGCCATCACTGGATTCCCTGCAATACATAATTAACGATTCTAGGAATAGTATAATCGATAACTAACTGGAGTTGTGTATGCATGCGTATTATCCACCCGTACTGCCCAACAAGTGACTGAGGGATTCGCCAACTGGATTTACGTGTGGTAATAATGTACTACGGATCGGGGATCAAGAATTTCAGATCTTGGTGATGTTGGGATACCGAAATATATATCCAGCTTTTCCAGATGAAGTACCCGTCATGATTCAGCGTCTGACTAATGGGGATGAAGATGTTTCGTTGATTGGGTATTCCCAGACGAACAGCAGCTCCAGAGACCAAGATTCAGAGATTTTATTTAGGAACAACTGGGTTTTCCTTCGGTCCTCAGTAGGTAGCAGGGGTAAGTTTATTTTGCCAATTTGTCGTATTTACCTTAACTTTCTATTTATGGCACATTATTAGTAGTATTTACGTAAATTTGTGGGTACATATAAAACGCGATCAGAATCAGCATTTGGATCGTATCAAATTTGAGACCTATAGTTCAAATATTATCCACAGATACAGTGATGAAAGCAAACGTGCTTGTTCTGTTGTCGGGTATGATTGAAAACCATATGCCTAGACCGTGTTTAGTTCGTGTAATTGTGCCTGATTTCAAGATGTTTATGAGAAGAATATAAAAATTAAGTTTTTACTAGAATTTCCAAATTAAACAAAAATCATTCACTCATTGCTTTGAATTTGCAGCGTTTCTGTCCTTGAGTGAAAGCACACGAATAGTCAGTGAACTGGCTCATCCGTGCACATCCGGTTCTCCGAGCCTCCAGGTAGACTTTCCACAAGACTTCTTCGGTGCCCAATCTGAGAGCCAGGCTGACATGGTCGCCACTTTACAGGACCTTATCATCGCCATGAAAGAGGCCAAAACATCTGTAAACAGAGCCAATATAGCCCTGGTAGGTATCGTAATGATGATGACAGTGGGCGAAACAGCCACTGGCCAGCTGTTAAGTTATAATACACTTTTATATCATGCAAGACTGTGGCCTGATAAAAAATGTTCATCATATTAGCTGCTTAGGGACCGTTCATAATTTATTGCTAGGTGGGGTGATGATGATTTTATGAAGAAGCATGTACAATGTGACTGACCTCCACCCCCTAAGATTTATGTACAAAGTAAGTGACACCCCTGCATTTCATGTACAAAATCAATGACGTCCCACCCCCTTCCCATAATTTGTAAGCATATTTTTTAAATAGTTCTGTGTACAAAATTGCAGCCCCCACCCTTTACCACCAAGAACCAAGTGGGTGACCCCCCTAAAATCATCAATTCTTCCAACCTAAATGGACTACGAAATTTTCTTTAAAACTGGCATATTTTGCACTGTATGTAGCGCATGTTGTGACCACTTGTCTACTGTAAGAGTTCCAGACTACGACAGATATAAGTGTCAATGAAAACGAAATTGTCTATTTGGGGTTTACACAAAAGTGAGCGGTCAAAACAACGTTTTTTGAAGTTACTTCATGTTAGAAAGGCAAATGTTCAAGGAATCTGAATGCAACTGGAAGCCAAATACATCCAGAGATGAAACCCTTAAAAATCCTTGTTGTCTTTGGCTGTGATAGGTTATTTGAACATGCATAAATTATTTCAAAACTTCAGACATGTGTTTTCTTACTTGTTTTTGATGGTACTCTACCTATTTGTAATCGTTTGCTTAGTTTTTACATTCAAATACGGGCTAGTGAAAGATTTTGTGGGCTTGTAACCTTCAGGCTACCCCGACGGGTTAGCAAAATTTGGAAACTATTTCGCACACCTGATGATGATGATGATGATGCTGATGATGATGATGATGATAATGATGATGATGATGATGATGATGTTGGATCATGTTCTACTTCTGTGTTGCAGAGGCGCAGCGATGAGTCGGCTCGCTTCAAACACTACTTCCAGGGGTCGCAAGGTGACCCAAATCCGGAAGTGTCGTCAGTATTCAAGTCATTTAAACAGGTTAGTATAAACACAGGGTTGATTCTAACAAACCTAAAAACAGAATCGAGACGACCAGAGATTCAACCCACAATTGGGTTTCCAAGGGACACTTTGTCTGAGACGACTCGCCAACACTTGTCCTTACTTCAAAATGACATATTCGAAGTGTTTGAAATTTATTTAAAATAATCCAAACATTTGTGCATTATAATCAGATCATTACTTCAACACGATGCCCACCGGCATAAACTCATCTCATACGTATCAATTCAGAGTTAAGTTTAATTGGAAGGACATCAAACTTTCGTCATCTTTCTACTTCCAGAATATAAAAATCGACTACAACCAAACGTCGAAGATGTGGCTGAATTTGAATAGATTCCAGCAAATCGTGAATGTGCGCCATTCAACACTTACCCAAGCCCTTACGAGATGCAAAGACAAGCTGGTCGTGGTTCTGTGTAAGCTTCAGACTGTGTTTCCGGAGGAGGACATGCCGATGGTTTCAGAGGATGACACTGGAGATCGCATGACCTTGGTTCAGTTTCGGAAATATTTCAGGAACACGATCAATCTGTACAAACATTATAAAGCACACTTCAAGAGACAAAATGTGAACTGTTAGACATGCGGTCTTCCGGTCCATATAATAAAATAACACGTCTTCTTTGAAATGAGTGGTGCTGTTTGTGTGGTCTCTGGCAGTCCTTTCGCAGTCAGAAACGCAAGTATGCTTTGTTTTGTGGTATTTCATTGTTTACATGAATATTTATCAGTAACGTAAAGTTATTAAAGAGACACTATGCCTCAACTCAATCTGGCAGATGGGAGATAACCTTATCACAGAAGTGTACGTAGATGCAGTTTAAGATAAGATTAATAATATGATGTGTTTGTATATATATGAACACCCTCATGGGCGATTAGACCACCTAAATATACAGACTGTATAGACTATACGTAGAGCTGATTCTATGCAGCAAACTCGGCAAAAGAAAGTGAAACAAAACTTTGATGGATGCTAAAAGTGAAACAAACACGACATGCGATGCATTTGAAACGGGTCTAATTAAAATTAATTAAAAATCTGATGTGGATAGAGAGCTCTTAGCTATGGTTCTATTTTCGAATTGGGTGTTATGTTTCGGGCAAATTTTGGGTCAAATTCAAAGTGTACTTCATTTGCCAGTCAGCGCAGCTCCATTGTGAAACGTTATTGTCTGGCTCTTGTGGATTTGTGTCTTGATATTCAGAATATAATCATGTGTTTACGAATGTATATACTGAAACTTCGCGAACTCAGTTTCGACTGAGCAATGTCAATATGTAGAATTACGTTAAGAAAGGAGGGCCAATTCTATCGGGTCGAAGTCCAACTGTACACCGAGTTAAAGGGAGATTGAGTTAACGAGGTTTCGCTATAATATATTTGAGAAAATCACGCTCCAGTTAGGAGCGTGGCATGTGTTACGAGAGATGAATCGAATATGACGTCAAAATAAGATACAATTGACAATGTTCTCCATTGTGATATATACTTAGGGAAACAAATAAGGGAACACCAAATCATGGCAATGCTCCTTTGTTTATTCTCAGATTTCCTCCCGTAGCGCTATTCAACGCTGATTATGAAAACCTAAAAATATAAAGGAACGTTTGATTTTTCCTGTGTTCCTTTATTTGTTTCTCTCAGTATATATCTGGTAACTTGTACACGTCACCTGATTCATCGATCTCAAATGATGCCTTGAATTACAAGGATAAATCGACTATATTAGTCGGCCGTAAGCTGGTTATTATGAACCTATATCGATTCTGCACTTTTGTTGTTGTTTGCTGAGTCGTGTTGCTAAAAATATTTTCAGGAATCTCCGTAAACTAAATGTTTTTTTCCTATTACGCTGTTTCAATGGTTGTGAATGTTGTATATGTTTTGATATAATGTTTCTTATTACGAAGGACAATATCCGAATATTTTGTTATGTAAAAACTCGATCATATTTATATTTTCTCTTATAGTCTAACTTGTTATATGTTGTTAGAAGCAAACCGAAACATGAGTCGCATTAACCTATTCAGAGAATGACCTACTTTTCAGCCGATCCGAATTTTCTCATGTGAAAGTGAAAATAGACATCACAAACAACTTTGGTTACACTGAATTCCAATTTCTTGTTTCATAAGAAAATGGTATTTACAAATGAACTTTAACTTTAAACTTCGTAAAATGAGGTCGTAAAATGATTCACAATTCATCCGGCTCACTGGTTACACCTGTTATGTGTTATTTGCACTTATCCAGTGTAGTTCTGTAACGGACAGTGTGATTGATATCATATCAAGTCCGTACAAGATCGCCAAACTTTTCTAGCGGCAGAACCTCGTTTTGATATTTCCACGATTTCCAGGCTTCTGTTTGTCAGTGCTCGCTATACGACAGAGCACGCTGCAGGACATGTTTGCAAGGGTTACACGGAGCGTAGTGTTGCAATGTACAAGTGCTTAGATGTATCAAATAATACTGATTAATAGTTATGTACCCACTTAAATGAATTGGTCTAAAAATTCTGGACCGGTTATTGTACTAAGTTGCGCAATAGGACGGAACCCAGTCATCGGGAAACGAGACTGATGTGTACTCAATGTTTTGACTTGTAATAACGATACAATCACCACAGGATAACTATACAACCCATCGTTTTTTGCCATTAAAAGATTGCAAATACAAGAGAAGCTGATCTGTCCTGTGTCAACACAAACATGTTTGTATTTATTTGATATGTATATTTTTATATATTTTATAAATATTGTTATAACAATCGCCATTATACACCCGAAATGTCGGTCATACTGTATGAATTAACTGATAGAAAATAATTATTAAACAATTTTAATCACTTTCAATTATCAAAGTATGAACAGCGGACCGATGAGTGTCGTATCGGGGTGATTAGCCTAGTCCTCAATTTTTACATCCTGTGCCATTGTAATGTCGCCATTGTTGTGTGTGCAGTTAGAATAAAACTAGATGAAAGAGACCTTGTTCTTTTCATTACGTCACTGCGTGAGTTGGGTTCAAGGTTGGTCCATTATGTCACGGCATGTTAGCTAGCTGATGTGGAAGGAAAGCCTAAAGTGGTGCAGGTCTACCCCAGCTAACAATTCCACATTGTCACAACATTATGTTTCCGTTGTTGAAACGTTACCCCGTGAAGATCCGGGTTATAATTGATCTTCAGTAACCCAAGCTTGTCGTAAGAGGCGACTAACGGGATCGGGTGGTCAGACTCGCTGACTTGGTTGACACGTTCTATCGTATCCCAAATGCCTAGATTGATGCTCATGCTGTTGATCACTGGACTGTCTGGTCCACACTCGAATATTTACAGACCGCTGCCATATAGCTGGAATATTGCTGAGTGCAGCGTATTGACCTGAGTATAATACGGGTTTTGTGTAGTTGTTGGTTTTGAGGTTACAGCATTTCTTCTTTAGTTGAAAAATATCGGAAACGTCCATATTTCTGCAGAGATACATTGAGTGAAACAGTGGCAAGATATACATAACGAATATTGGGTAACGAAAACGAATACTTGGTAACGAATATACGAATATTAGGTAACGAATACGAATATTAGCTAACGAATACGAATAGTGGGTAACGAATATACGAATATTAGGTAACGAATATACGAATATTAGGTAACGAATATACGAATATTAGGTAACTAATATACGAATATTAGGTAATGAATATACGAATATTAGGTACTGAATATATCATATTAGGTAACGAATATACGAATATTAGGTAACGAATACGAATAGGGAGTAACAAATATACGAATATTAGGTAACGAATATACAAATATTAGGTAACGAATACAAATAGTGGGTAACAAATATACGAATATTGGGTAACGAATATTAGGTAACAAATATACAAATATTAGGTAACGAATATACGAATATTAGGTAACGAATACGAATAGTGGGTAACAAAATACAATAGCAAGTCAACAGTTGATACATTATTTAATATACACTAAACGCCAAAAGAAACGTTACCTTCGTTCCTTAATGACGGAGGTACCTATCTTCAGCTGGCGTTGTGATGCGTGGACGTCCACTTCCTGGTCTGTCTACGGCACCCCAGTCTGTCTGAAGCTCTGAATAAGTCGTACAAGCGTGATACGATGGCATCCGAGGGCGTTGGCAACAGCATTGTATGTCGACCCCATCTGCACCATTACAATGGCTTTTTCTCTCTCTCTCTTCAGCTGTTAATCGTGGCATATTTCTCGTAGTTGTGTATCATATCATGTATTCTAGGCCCTCTTTATACCCTACAGATTCATTCTACATGGGAAATGGATGCAAATACTGCTCGCATAATGCTGCGTTTTGGCGATTGATATTGCTATGTGTAAACAGAAAATGGAAAAATGTTACTTTGCAAGCAAAAATGTTAACAAAGATAATTTTAGATGTTCCTAAACATTTTTTCACAATATCAAAGACACGTTTTACTTGTATTCACTAATGTAAATCAGCAGAAAATATTTAAAAGACTGAAATCAACGTTGTTCAAATATTTATAAAGTATAAATAAATATGGAATATTCAAAATATAAGTTCAAATATCTTTACAGAGTTGAGCAGCTTGAAGTTTTGGAAACTGATGAATTGCGTATATTCTTAAGCAGGTAAGTAAGTCTATGAGAATGTTATGTAAATAAAGATGGCCTTTACTGCTGTTTCTGTCAACAAATACTAGTACTCCGCCAAGCAATGATGTCATGGGACCAAACACGCTGGACCACTGTTTTCAGTGCACAGGTCAGGCGTGCACTGGTCAGCTGTTTGGCCGTTGGCCTGGTGATGGGCGCAGGAGGCCAGACATACTCTTGAAGTTCTAGGACTGCAGCTTTATGCTATAGAACATCGTACTGCCATTAGACTTGCAGTGCAGCGATTTCATGGCATTGTGACGTCATCGGGTTTTGACGTCATAGCATTGAGTCATGTCATGTTGTAGAATTATAGAACAGGGTCCCGATCCACAAAACGTTCGTAGCGCTACGACATTCGTAAGCCTATGATAAACTATAGAGTTACGAAAGGTCGTAACGTTACGAACGCTTTGTGGATCGGGGCCCCGAATCTTGCTGGAGTTCTACACAAGTCGCAGTCGGAGACTGTCTGACCTTTTCATGAAATTTGAGAAAATGCATTCCTCGAAATCGAAATCGATATTAAAAACTTTGAGGTTGATAGATGGGATAGTTCCGGGTTTTTTCGTTTATTGTTGTTTTTTATAAGAAACGCTACTGGGTTAAAACTCTGAAGGAATAATATTTCATAATTCATTCAGCATATCATAGGCTACTAAGTTCTGTCTAAAACACTTATAGTTTCCACGTTCGCGATTTCGTGACAGTGTATATATTTTGTTCGCTTCATGGCAGGAGCTTCAACATAACTCGATTTTGGTAATTGTGGTATTTACGTAATTATATTAACCGAGCTAGTTATCTGGAATATGTTTATTGAGATTTAGTTTTGCACATCGTTTCCGATTAATACTTTTTTATTTATTTTTCTTACGCTTGTGAATGTTACATTTACTGGGTATTTGGACAAATGTCCATATTTAGATCGAGTATTCGAGTGAGACTAAAAGAACGACTTCATCTCTGCATATGACATCAAATCTCACCCCAATACATGACATCAAGGTGTTCACTGTTATGTTTAGTCTCTGATTTGTGTGTAACGAGGTCACGGGTCAGGCGTGCTCTGGTCAGCTGTTTGGCCGTTGGCCTGGTGATGGGCGCAGGAGGCCAGACATACTCTTGAAGTTCTAGGACTGCAGCTTTATGCTATATAAAGAATCTCACCCGAGTTTCTTTTGATATCAAATTTATCACTACAAGTTGATAAAGTTACAAATATCCTAGGCTTGATGGAGATATTTTTACTTTCATCAACGAGTGTTGATATATTTGATATCAGAAAACACGAGGGTGAGATTCTATTTATCATCAAATATCAATCTTCACTAGTCATTCACTAGTTTTCAGTAAAAAATGTATATCTCTGAACATCGTACTGCCATTAGACTTGCAGTGCAGCGATTTCGTGGCATTGTGGCGTCATCAGGTTTTGACGTCATAGCATTGAGTCATGTATTTGATGACGTCAGGGCATTGTACAAAATCTACTGTGAAGCCGATATCATATGGGGATATCGTTTGATCTCACACAAGGAGATATCTCCTGTCGAACACAGTTTTGGATGGTAGAGATTTTTACACGAGCAAGTGTGCCATATGCCTTATACGAAACGAGCGTGAAATTTTGTATTGCGAGAGCGAGGGCAATACATAACTTTGTACGAGTTTCGTACAAGTCATGGCACACTTGCTCGAGTGTAATAATTTCTTTATTATCCATTTCATTCATGTACATTTGTGCAGTAAAACAAGGTAAGCAAGTGTGATGGCCCACTTCATTGACGTTACGTTCAATTGTTTAATGACTTCACAGGCTACGAAACACAGAAACAATGGTTGCTCGTCAAAAGTGATATGTGCACATATGATATAGATGACACTGGTTATGTTTCACCATATGGGAATTAAAGTCTTATAGGGTCAAGAGTGAGATATATATTATCCGAACGCCCACTGTGGGTTGTGGACTAAGTACCACGTACACGTACCACGTACATGGTCTTGCCATATCACCTGATAGGATCAAATAGGTCAGCACTGAGTTTTAGTCCTAAAAAAACATTGTGGACTCGCAGACAGACTTGTGCTGTCATTTTGAAAAATATCCGCAAACAACATTCGACATCTACAACAGCATATACAAGTATACAACACCAACCCCTACGGCGAATACCGTTTTTAAAATCAGCCA